GCTGTCAGCAGGGCAGCCCTGGTCTCCAAAAAGTTTAGTAAAATGTTGCCCTCCAGTCAAAACATTGGAAGGGTGTGGGTGTGGGTGTGGGTGTGGGTGTGGGTGTGGGTGGGTGAGGCTGAATCTCTGGTGTTAGTACAAGGCTTCCATGTGTGGCCCTGGGCAGGGCAGGGCCTGGCTCTCAGGAAGAAATGTTTCTCTTGCCTAAGAGCAGGTCTCTGCAGCCAGCCCCCAAGCTGATTTCCTCTCATCCCCAGAATTCCCAGGGTTGGACAGGAAACGACCCGCGAGGCCACAGAACAGTTCCAGGAAGAGGTTATGGCTATTTGGCACCAGGGAAGGGCAGGTGGGAGGCACAAGGAGAAACTGAGGGCTTCTGCCCCCTCTCCCTGCTCTTACTCCCCTTTTCCTGAAGGACACATGAGACATCAGTGCAGGGCCAGGCCCAGCCTCCGGGCTCTGGGGTGGACTCAGTCCCTCCTGGGAGGGGAGACAGGAATGGGAGAAGGTGTGGAGGCAACCCCTTCCAGTAGGAGGATCAGAATGAAACAGAGACAGCACAATGATGGGGGAGGGGGGGGCCAAAAAGGTAGAATCTCAAGTCAAGGAGCCCTGTGGGCAGGGAGCAGCCTCCAGGTGGTGAAATGCTGGGAGAGCCCTCAGCCCCATTCCAGTCCAGAGACAAAGGCTGGAGGTTGTAAAGTCTGGCAGTTTGGTCTGCAGATCCTTGTGTCCATCCACCACCCAGGCCAGCCCTCAGCATCCCTCGGCCTCTGTGCCTCAGCCCCATGAAGTAAGAAGGAGGCCATCCGTCCAGCCACCTGTCTGCCCGGGGCCACCACAATGGGGCCTGTGATATGGGCCCTCTGGTCCCTGAAGCTGGGGGAGGTGGGGCAGAGGAGTGGGGGAGTCGGGGCACCTGTCCCCAGGCTGGTAGGGGGTGGGGTGAAATATTGAGGACGGGAGGGAGGACAATGGGAGGGGTTAGTTATTGTCTGGTCAAGGAAAGATTCCTGCTAAGTAGAATTGGAATTCCTCAGTGTTTGCAGGTTTCCTTCCAGTTCTGAGATCTGGAAAACAAAGGGGAGAGGGGGTCAGGCATGGGCCCCACTCCTTGTGTCCACTGGTGGGGACATGGCCCTGAGCTCTCAGCCAGCAGCATGACCGAGATCCAGAGCGGGTGCCTGATGGGGGCTTCCCTGCCATCACCTCCACAAGGCCCGCCCCCAGGGCACCCTGGGCCTACCTTGTCCAGGAGCTTGTCCATCTCCTCCTTCCTGGCCAGCTCCGACTCCTCCAGAACCCGGCGCTGTGCCGTCTCCTTTTTCAGGAACTCGATCTCCCTGGTGGTCAGCGGGGGACAGATGGTGGTAAGGGTGTGTGGCCTGGCTTCCACCCAGGAAGTGTCCGGGTTCTCAATCCTATCCTCAGCTCTACTGGGCAGCTCTGCCCTCTCCCTGTTCTCGGGTCAGGGAGGCCGAGGTGTTCCCAAAGCCTCTGGGGTCTGGTCGTCATTCGGGGCCCAGGTACCCCCACCACGGGCTCTCCAGCTTCTATGCTCCTCCCCTCCCTGCTCAGCTGGGGATGGGGAAGGACTGCGACAAAGGCCCCTCAGTGCCCCAGACCCCGGCCACGTACTTCTGCTGGTAGTCCTTGATGAGGCGCTTGGCCTTGCTGTACTTGCGCTCCAGGGCCTGGTACTGGGCCTGGGTCTCCCGCAGGTGCTCATCCACAGCTTGGCACAGACTCTGGGCCTCACCCCAGTAGCCCTCCAGCTTCTCCATGCGCTCCTTGTTCTCTTCCACGCTCTGCTCCAGCTGGGCCTTCTCCACCCGCCACCGCCCCTTCTCCTGCTCCAGGCTCTGCAGCTGAGAGGAAGGATGGCCCTGGGTTGGTGGGGGCCCGAGGGAGCCCAGGAGCACCCCCATCTTTCACTGGGCCAGAACCTCTGGATGATTCTGCAGATATCGAGCCCACTGCCCCCTAACTACTGACTTACTTGGCTGAACCTGAGACCTGAAACCGGAGAAGGAAGAGGTGGGACCTCGGCCTCAGAGCTCCCAGCTGGAGTCCCTGACAATGTACCACACTCCTGCTCCCCAAGGCAGGGGGCCTGGGTTAATCACTGATTAGCTCTGTGACTTGGGGCAAGGCAACTTCTGTCTTAAGTCTCAATCTTCTAATCTGTAAAATGGGAGTGATGCTTGCCTTGCCACGCTCACAAGGGCTACCGTGAGGTGGTAGATGTGAGAGCAGAGCAGGGAAAAGTCACCACTACCCTCTGTCCCCTCTGCACCTCTGGCCTCCTGACCAGTCCCTGCTTCTGTGGCTTCTTGAACAATCCTGGCCCCTCTCCCAGCTCGCAGGCTACGCCAGTGCAGAACTTCCGGCCCCAATGGCTCAGTCTTGGAGCCTCTGTTCTCTCTCTCACCTCCCACACCCCATTTGTGCACTCAGAGCCCTGAGTCCTGAGCTCCAGCCTAATATCACTTCCAACTTCTCACAGGCACCAGGCCCCCACTCCGACCCCAAAGGTATTCCTCCTTTCTGTCCAGCCCACCTCTGTTCAAAGGTGCCGTCCTCTCTCACTGTCACCCCAGTGCTCAGCCTCAAGCCCCTGCCTGCCCCTCCAACCTTGGCTGCAAATGCCACTTGCTCTCTAGGCCCCAGCCACACAGGCCTTCCTGCAGATCCTCAGGCTTGCCAGGCTCCCTCCTGGCACACAGCGTTTGCCCGTGCTGTTCCCTCTGCCTGGAGTGTTCCCATCGCCCCTCCCCCTTGCCTTATCATTTCCCAATGGCTCACCCTTGGGTTCTCTGCTCAGAGTGTCACTTCCCCAGAGAAGTCTCCTGGAGCACCTCCAACAGCACAGCCCCACCCCCCACCCATCAGGTCCTGCTGATCTTAAGAGCTCATAACCCTGTCCTCTCCCACAAAGCCCATGTCCGTCTGTAACGATACAGTCATGGGTGCGCAGACTCGGAGCTGCACAAGGGCAAGGACCAAATCTGCTTCTGCCTATCACAGGGACTGGAATAGTGCGGGCAGCCAGGAGGCAGCCAGCAGATGTTTACTGACTGAAAGCATGAACAGGCCTTGGACTGACCCTGCCCCTTAATGCTCTGCACCCACCCAGGAACCTGGCCTGCCATCTCCACCTCAGAAATGCAGCTCCAACCCAGCCTTCCCTTCCACACCCTCTGCCATACGCTGGGCAGCCCTGGCCTGCACCCGCCTCCTAAGTTTGCTGGCCTCCAAGTCCTGCCCACCTACTCTTGTGTCCTCCCACTTCACAGGCAGTGATCTTCCTCCTTACGGCCCCCAGGTGGCCACAGGTCCAAGGCTAGAGTCCTTCGGGGGAAGTCAGGACACTGCAGCTACGCCCACCCTGGCAGCCAGCTCTGCTCCTACATCTCCCACAGCAACGGCTGCTACAGCCCACGGCCTCCTCCGAAGCCAGCCTCCGAGCTCAAGCTTGTCTCCTGCCAGCAAGCATCTAACCCCCTCTCCCAGGCTCCGCTTCACACTCTCCTTTCTCCATGCACAGTGGGTGTAAACCCACATGTGGGCGTGCACACGTGTGCCTCGGTGTACCGTGTCCACATGGCTGTGTACCCCTGCTTCTCCCCACTGCACGGAAAGCCCCACGGGAGTTGGAACTCCTAATGTCCTGGCCCAGCAGGGGCCCAATACAAGTTTTTCATCTGGAGTCTGTGCATCTCCATGCCTGCGAGAGTTAGCACCCAACATGCTTGTGTGGGTGTCTGTACGCGGTGCATACGTGTGGATGTCACGTGTGTGTCACCATCTGGGAGTGTTAGCATCAGCACCTCGTGAGAAGGCACATGTCCTGTGACACTCCTGTGCGATGGCCATGCCTGTGTGTCTTAGATCAGAGCAATGCAGAGGGAGTCTACACATCCAGGGCGATGCACGTGTGAAGCCTAAGTCCAGCATCTCCGTGTTCTGCCTGCACAGAGTAGGTGTCTGGTGCATGGCTCTGTGGGTACTGTGTGCCTGGGGTCCAGGCTGGCATGTGCCTGTGAGTATCTCTGGGCAGTATGCATCTATCACTGGCCCTGTGTGTAGAGGACTCACGTGGGACAGCATGGACGTGACGACATCTAGGATGTAAGTCAGTGTGCTTTGGGATAATAGCTCA